TTATCATGAAACTGATGAGTTCAAGTTTTTTATAGTCAATGAATGAAAATTTTTAGAAGAGACGAAACAAAATCAAGAACCAAAAAGGCGCCGAGGAAAACCTTTAATTCTGTTTTTCCAATATTCATGCATTCACAGAAACCAACAATGAACATGCATTAATTTTTCAGCATTTATGCCAAGATTTGTCAAGGAGCCTTTAAAGGATAAAATGTTTGGTGTCATTGGAGGAAACGTCACTTACCTCTGCAATCCAGAAGCAGCACCGACTCCAACGTACTCATGGCTTAAAAACAATGTAGATCTGGGACTGAGTCCCGGAGACACCACGTCCCGGATCCGGATGTTACAGAACGGGAACCTGTTGATCACCAATATCAATGTGGGGGATGCTGGGTATTACACGTGTAGGGCTGAGAATATGTACGGCTGGGCTTCCAGTACAGGATCCCTACAAATAGCAGGTATTCTTCGACAATGATTTGGGGAAATTACATTGTACATGTGTTTTCATTTTGCTTTTATAATAATACAATAAACTCTTCCGTTTGTGTGGTATATGGAAGACAAATATACATCAAAAGGTAATTTTCTAGAAAAAGATATCTAAAATGAATCACTACTAACAAGTATCTGCTGTGTTTTCTTTACTTTTTTCAATACTTACCTTCCAGATCAGGTTGTGATAAGTCTTCCTCCAGTAAATGTTCAGGTGAGATTAAATCAGACAGCCTTTTTAAGATGTCAGGCTTCGTACAGTCCTGTGCAGGACGTCATCTACAACTGGCTCTTCAATGACGAAATTATCGACGTGAAAAATAATTTGTTCTACAAACAGGTATAATTCTAATGAACATTAAAACATAGAAAATCAAATCCATACATTTTCTATTACTAGTATTGTTTTGTTTCTCTCCCTTTGTATCAGTATATATGATTTACAGGGTGAATCACAATCGCTTACTGGACTTTTTGTCATGGCTGTTCAGTTTAGGCATGGGGGAAAGTATACGTGTAGAGCACAGACAACAAAAGAAAGCTTCGAGGCCTGGGCTTATCTCACAGTCATAGGTTGGTGAAATAAGATTCTAGCATTTGGCTAATTGCAATGGATATATATAAGCATTTGGCATAAAATAATGTAAAAGTTTGTCTGGAACTGTCTTGCAGACAGGGAATAAATAATTTTAAAGTAGAAATACTGAAGTCAAGTATCTGGTACGATATGAATCTTACTTCTGTCAGAATCATTTTAAAAACTTGATTACAATAGTAAATGCTATAAAGAATCTTTGTCATCATGTTAATGTCAAGATACTAGTATTCAATGGTCTTTCGCTGTATTTTCACAATCAGGACCTCCAGGTGAATCAGGGGGTGTATTTGCAATTCAAAGCAGTATTGGAAGTTCTTACTTACGATTATCTTGGACCGTTGGAGCTTCTAACGGTGCCAATATCCTGTTTCACACAGTTGAAGCTTTACCAGTAGCATCTAACGAATGGTTTATTGCCATTGATCGTAAGTATATATATAACTGCATGTGTTTATTGTACATTTTTGGGATACAAACATGAATGACAAAAAAATTGTTAACAAATAAAGTATTGCATTTGCAGACGTTCCTGATAGTTCGTCCATCGTACCTGGTGGGGATCCAAGCAAGCGTGTTGTTGAAATTACTGGTTTAAATCCTGGGAGTGGATACCGCTTCCGTGTATTTTCGTCGAACAATTACGGAGTTGGACCGGCCAGTAGACCGTCAGGTATATAGGTCTTTTGAACATTATTGCTACACTGGCAAGTAATATTAAAAATTAGGTCTGACGATTACTTTATTTACTCTAAAAAATGCGTTTTTCAGACGTGTATACAACAAGGAATGGACCTCCAACTCACCCGCCAACTCACGTGGGTGGCGGATACGGAAGTGTGGGAGACTTGACAATCAACTGGATGGTAATTATTAATAAGCAATATACTTCAACAAAACTCAGGCAAAACTATCACTTTTCTTTGAATTCATCTTCAACCACCTCTTCTTCATGATCAGTTTTACTTATTTTCTTCCTCATATGGATTCAGCTAAGGATTATATGTCTTTCCTTTAACAGCCTTTACCGGAATATCAGTTTGGAGGACCAGGTATTGGCTATTACGTTTACTATCGTAGGAACCTAACAGAAACCTGGACTAAGGTATGTATAACCACATATTCTTAATTCTTTTGCCGTCTACTTTTCGGGCTATCCATTTATTTCTAAGGGGAATTCGGTAGCGCTTTTATAATTAACACTGCATTTGTACTTGATTCTGTATATGTGTTGCTCTTTCAGATCACCCTCGTCGGGAATGTCGGACAATACGTTACGCAAGTTGGGACTGATAATTATTATTTGCTATATGACGTCATGATACAATCATATAATGACTACGGTCCTGGACCAAACTCCAGTGTCAACACAATCTATTCTGCAGAGGAAAGTAGGTTAATTCTTATACAGGACTGACACCTTGGAAGTATTTTGGAATTATGGTTCATAGACTGTCTTCAGTCAGAATATCAATAAACATATTACACTGCACAATTTCAGAAATATAAAGATAACGCAAAGCAGATGTTGCATTTTGAATACAGGAGCAAATGAATGATCATTTAAAAACACTAATACTGGTCCAAAGAAACGTACTCTCGTGCATGCACTTGTGAGTAAATATTTGTTTTAAATCATCAAATTAAAGACTGATCATTTAGTATTTTTACTGCAGTTCCAACTATATCCGTCACAAATGTCCAAACATACCCATACAATTCTACTGCGCTCATGGTGACTTGGGATCCAATTCCGGATACTCGTGAGGCAATGAAAGGGAAACTACTTGGATATCAAGTAAGCGTTAATTAAAGCATACTATGCCAAGTCTTGGTACAATATTTAAAATTTCTACACTAAGTAGATTTTTAAAATTTTGGCATTTAGGAGAGGATGTGATTTCATGTCAATTCTATCATTCTGTGCGCTAGGTGAATTACTGGGAGAGGTTCACTGAAGATCCTATCATGAATTCTATCAGCTGGCGTGGACAAATGGCGAGCGGTGTTGTGATTGGTCTGTTGCCTAACACGTGGTACACGGTTAATCTGCAGGCACTAAATATGGCTGGAATGAGTCAAATAAGTGAAACTGATTTTCAACTGACCCTGAAAATGGGTACTTAGCCAGCTTTACTATTTTATCTTTCTTTCACAGTTGCATATGCATGTCATTTTATCTCTTTATTCTAAATCAGCCAACTTAAAAAAAAATTCGATGTGGCATATAAATGAAAGGCTGTAATATTTTGTTTTACAGCACCACGTTTGTACCCTACGGAGATCCATGTGGGGTCCCATGGTTCTCAGAGTGTTTTTGTAACTTGGCGTGGAGTTACAACTGGTATCAACGAGGAACCAATCCAAGGATACATTGTAAGGATACAAATTCGATTTATCCCCAAAAATAGAAAGGGTATCAAAATTCAAATTTTGGATGAACCAAGAACTCCAAATAAGGATGCCTGCATATCACTTTTACTATCTATACATCTCTTCTAGAGAAAAATCTTTTAATGCTTTCAAAAAAGGTTGTGCCCTGTTATGGCTCCCATTTCTTTGTGAATGTTACAACTCGTCTTCCTTGCTGTGAATCTATCCTAGCTTCCGAGATTAGTTCTTTTTAAACATGTTCATGCATGCAAATCAACTAGACATGATTTTGCTTATTTCTTGTCAAGTACACCCAATGCAAAACGTTCTCATAATAATCATTCTAACTTGGTCTTGGGGCCACATTTTAATTTGACATTTCAAAGAGGCTGGGTGATTGTGGCCATATAAAGATATAACAAAATGATCAAATTTTAAAACTAAAATTTATGAAATTTTTCTTTGCCAAATAATAGTTGACAGCTTAAGATATCATATCCCAAAATTTAAGTAATATCTGGTGATTAATAAAAAAAAATGATTTGTTGACCCCTAGCCTCCTTAATATATGTATATTCGTTGCTGAACAAAAAGTCTAAAAGGAAACTATAAAATTCCATTTGTTTCCTTTCATGGCATCCTTCTTTATTTTTTGTAATTAAGTATTCCTCTTAAATCTCCCGCAAAAAATCATGGAAAATAATAAAATAATTTTCTCACTAAACATACTTGAGGTATTAAACCACAAAACAATTTTTTCTAAGCTTGATTTTATTTTTCTACATAAATAGGAATCAAACTTTAAAAAAAAAACACTTGCAAACTTAAGTCTTCAGACTATCTTGGTAATTCAATAATTAATTTCATCATGTTTTGTTAAAACAATTATTCTGAATTACATATTTACATTCATAAACAAATACACAGCTTCGTTACTGGTTGGATGGAGATGACATTAGGACAGCAACAGATGTCCGTGTGGCCAAGGTAGACAATGCCATTATTTACGGAATTCAGAAAAACTACCTCTACCGACTAAGGGTGCTTGGCTTTAGTACTGGTGGGGATGGAACATTGAGTGAACTTGTTTACTTTACACTAGGTGAGATCAACTAAAACATTTTATTGTATTCTATTTTTAAAACAGCATTTCAACACACTTACGACTTTCTGAACAAACTTCTTGAATGAAAATGTATTTGTAAGCTACATGTATTTTAACACATTTCCTATCTGAACGTTTTTAAAAACATTTCCTATTTAAACTACTGCTCTAACCTATGAATATGTATTTGCAATAAAAATTATAAAACACCTCTCATTCAAATGACTTTAACGAGTGTCCAATCTTTGGTTGACAGGTGGGCGGATTGCTGCAGTAGACCAATCTGTTACTGAAGTGAAGGCCACAGCAAACAAACTTCAAGTGTGCTACTTTATAAGTGCTGCCATTGCCACAATACACATTGTCTTAAAACATTTCAATCACTATGCATGAATCATGACTCAATCAAGAATATTTTCAAATTTCATGTCATTATATGTCACATAAATTCATGTTTGTTTAATCATTCTCAAAGGAATTATCAGATTCCCACATCAGTAATTTTCAGGGCTACCTGTACAAATTTTTAATTCCTTGTATTTGTGAATCTCATCCTTAATTTGCCTGTATCTGCAGTGAAGCATACATCTCAGACACATACAGTTGTAGTAACTACATTATTTGACGGATGTCCTGACTGAGCTAAATCATAGCTATTTAATAAATCATCATCAATTTGTGATGAAACGTTGAGGTCTGGATGTAGGTCAATCGATCTCTCGTAGAGTTCAAGGTCATAAGAAGGTGTGCTGAGGTCTATAATTCAGAGAGAAAGCATTGTCATTTCAATTATTTTTTACGAAAAACTTTGTACTGTATGGATTTGTACATTGTATGAATATATTTGTTACACAGACACTTGTTTCGGAAATAAATTTGAACCCATAGTATATAAATAACACAAGGTATCTAACTTCGAATTTCACTCAGTACCCCCTCCTCAGAAACGCACTCATTTACACCTTCAGGTGAAATGCACTGGCAAACTATTCATTACCATTTTCTTCTACGATAATTTATCTACATATCCATATATGGCATGAATGTCTGTTTTCTTCTATGTCCATAAACAGCGTCAAAATTTTGCTCGTTGAGTGGAAAGTTGAACTCAACCATAGAATGGTATGTGCTAATCTTGGGCAAACAATTTGATTCTGAATTTGATTGGCTAAAAATCTGTTTCTAAAATTACATGGGAAAAATATCGTAGTATTTTTATGGAAAATAAGACAATAATCAAATTTTATTCATTCATTGCAGTTTTCAAAATCTGGAATTGAATTTCTAAACCCACTCATTTTTAAATTTTTGCTCTATGCCGGAGATTAGCACATACCATTCTATGGTTGAGTTCAACTTTCCACTGAGCGTTTTGATGCTGTTTACAGATATAAAAGAAAACAAAGACATGCTTGCCATGTATGGTTGTGTAGATAAATTATCGTAGAAGAAAATGGTACTAAATAGTTTGCCAGTGCATTTCCTCTGAAAATGTAAATAAATGCATTTCTGAGGAGGGGGTACTGAGTGTTTTTCAGAGTTAGATACCTTGTGTTATTATCATAATTTGGGTTCAAATTTATTTACAAAACAAGTGCCTATGATTCTTTAATACATTTATTATATTTTAATACATTTATTACTTACCAAATGAGGCAGATTTCCTGAAAAAATTAATGCTCTGTAATAAATAAGGCTTTCCTGATAAAAAAAAAAATACAAAACTTCACTTTTGTGGTATTCTGTTTTTAGTACCTTGACAGCAGTTTGTCTTTCCTTTTTTTCTGTTTTGTCTGAAATTGAAACAAAATTCTATGTGCAGAACATGTACTTAGCTTTAAATATAGAACATTTGAGCATGGTACAACTAAGGAAATTCAGAGGATAAACATAATCAAATATGTACAATATCATTACTTTCCCAAGCAACTACACCCACCTTTCCTTGACTTCTGTCAGATGGTAACGTTGAGGAAGATGAGGATTTGTAGATCCTGGAATACAGATGATCTTCTATGTGCTCTGTTAGATTTATACCTTTCTCTGGCTGTAAATTAACCAAACAAAAATGATGAAATGCATAAATATTACCAGAGGTTGACAAGTCAAAACTAAAATGAATAATTTTTTATCTATGTTATCTGAGGATGTTTTGTATAAACTATATCAATGCTTTTTTCAAAGATTTCCCCCTATATTTAGTAAAAAAAAAAAAATTATTCCCAGTTGAGACCAAATTTTACCTTTATGGGGTTATAACTTACAGAAAGTTAAATCTAACTTTCACATAAATCTTATCTTTAATTGCTTATTAGTTCTTGAGATGAATTTTTTTTTAAACAAACAATATGTTTGATAAACAAATTTTATTGAAACACATTCCTTTCCCAAAAGCACTATCTGAGTGAGGTATGAGCAAGAAATAGAAAGTATTTTTAACATAGAATCATAAGTTATGAATAGTCAGTTGGACGGAATCTTCTCTGCTGGTTGCGAACAGAACTTGGGATATAATGAGGTAGATATAACATGGATACTATTACATTTCAAAAATGGATACAATGATAAAAGAGTATAACACTGACCTCCTGAACCTCTACACTGTCCTGTTCCTTGACCGAGGACCTTGGACTGAGGTGAGGTCTCCACATGTGTAACATGGACTGCACAAAGTTACTCTGAAAAAACAGAGACCTTGGATCACAATTCAACCATGAAGACATCCTCCTCCTTTTTAAAAAAAATAAATTTGATAAAATTGCACAGATAACAAAAGTTTGTAAAAAAGTTTTCCAATTTTTCCAATTTAAAGTTTTTAATATTTAACTTTATATATCTACCATGGCTCCCTCCCGCAGCATTTCTTCTTGTTCTTGCTTTTGTCTCTGATAGCGGATCATTCTCTCCCTCTCTTTTCTGTTTCTAGAAACTTTTAATAAAAGTTCTTTTTCCAAGCCCTGTCTCCGTTTTCTGTTACTTTCAAACATCTACAAAGAACATCAAATTATTGGAGTAAATATGACATGTCGTAATGACAAGCTTGACTACGTAAGGAAGAAGACATTCACTATTAAAAACACATCTTATTATACTTCATATAGGTGCAACAAAAATAATGAGCATAGCAGTATGGCATAACTTAGCAGCTGATTTCAAAAAGTTATCTCTGAAAACTCTGTCCTAATGAAAATTGAGACTTGCCAGCTTATGCATCACAAAATTCTACCTATTTCATTTTACCTCTTGTCTAAGCTTTTCTGCTTCCCTGGCTTGTTTCTTTTTCTTCTCATCCAAAACTTTTTGAAGCCTTTGAGTTGTTTCCCAGTTTTTCATGGATTCCAAAGTATTTTCAAGCTCTTTCCTTCTCTCTGAAATATAGAATAAAACTTCTTCTAATGTAAATAAAAGATGATTTCGGATAAACTCCAGTCTTTTCAATTATAATACATTTGGATACTTGAACACACATATCTCAAATAATTATTATTCTTAGTTCAATCTTCTCCTTACATTACCTCCTTTGATAACAACTCACCCACTTCATGCAGTTTTTCTTCCCTAAGTTGCTGAATCTCTTCTAATAATTTTAGCTTTTCCAACCCTGGTTCTATTTCACCTCTTTTTGTGGATGTCTTCTCCTTGTTCTTAAGTTTGAGTGACGATTTCCTGGAGTCAATCAATTCAGGCTCATCCTCTACAAACTGTACAACCTTGGATTCCTTTCCTTTCTTCCTTCTGCTAGTGTCAGAATTTCTTCTTTTCAAAACTGGACTCCTGTCCTCAGTGGAGAAAACATCCAACTTTGCTCTTCTATCCTTCTCTGGCATTCTCAGTGAATTACTTTTTATTTGCCTAGTTTGTAAAGTATTCTTTTTCCCCTGTATATCTCTGTCCAGATTGATATCATTCTCATCATCTTCTGGGTCTTCTGTCAGCTGCTTGACTAAGTCCTCCATAGGGGCCCTTCCTTTGCCAACTACTTCCACATGTGTGTTTGAATCAACCTCAAATGGTGTAGAAGGAATTTCTAGAAAAGTGTCTTCAATGTCGGCTTCAGTATTTCCAGTCAGGTCCTCATTGCTGTCGGTATTTCTAGAATTTTTCTTTTGATGAGCAAGAGTGTCATTTGGATGTAGGTGTGAGGGAACTGAAAGAAAGTCCTTAGAACTGCTTTCAACTTTCACAGGTGCATCATCAACATTCAAAGAATCATGTCTGATCAACTTCTTTTTCTGGTGAGGAGTGTTATTTTGATGCTGGTTTGGAACAGTTAAGTAATCCATGGATTTAGAAGGGGACTGTTTCTGGGTCTTCATTCTGCTCTTGGTTATTTTCATCCAGTGCTTCTTTCTCTTCCATCCCCACAATGCAGACCATGTCTTCTGCATCAGTGTCTTCCACGGCTTCTTGTTTCTGGAAGGATCGACCAGACATTCGTCTCTGTTTCCATCTGAGTCTTGCCAATTCTGCCAGTATCAGCTCAGTCTCTAAAAAGTAATCATCTATGTTTCATCATTTTCCAACAAATTTCAGTAAAATGATCAGTGTAAAATTAACATTCAACAAATTTTTCATAAAATGAAATTAAAAGAAAGTAAAATTGACCTACCCATTTCTGACTCTGCACCTCTTAAAGTCCAATTATCCAATTCAAGAACACTGTTCAGAATACAGGTTAGAAAATATACATGTAGGAAGAATTTTAAAGTTGTGTATGTTATTCTTTAGATTGATATCTTCAAACTAAGCATATGTGATTTTAATCTTCAAACTCCAACTTTTTTTTTTTAATTTGAAACTATTGAAGAAAGTAACTAAAAGATGAACAATTACATTTCTCATATTATGCATAATTGATATTTTTACATATAAACTCAAAACTGTGCCAAGTGCTACTGCTTATAAATTTTATCAAGATTTTAATCTACTGAGAAGAATAATTTGGCATGATGATCCTCTACAACCCATTCTCAACTTTTTAGAAATTAGTAGTACATGTATTAACAATATTAGTACAATTCATACTGATACCATAGGGGTTATACCATTAGTGAATAAACCAGTTATTTTGTTAGTTTGTGAAGTGGTGCATTGTGCCTTTAATGTTGTCAAAATCCATTAAAAATCATCAATCAAAAACAAGCAAGTTAAAAATTTCCATTTTATTACAAAAATAAAACTCTAAAAACTAGTGCATTAAACCATACAACCATGATCACAGATGAAAGACTAAAAGCATACTTCATTCACCCTTAAGTTTGAGGCATTGTGAAGGTTAGTATACTGTAAAATCACATATTTCAAGGGGTCAAATTTTTGTGGTTCAAGGAAAAATATAATCATGAGGATTTTGATTGAAGAAGGCATATTAAATTTCGTGCTACCTTGAAAACCATGAAAATTAATCCCCTCTCCCCCAAATGTGATTTCACAGTACATGAATGTTATTTTTATGCCAAGATGTAGTTTTGTATCACAATCTATCATTAAAAAATCTGTTTTAATACATATGAATTGAAAGGCAATTATGAAAAATAAACTGGTAAAACATATTCCGCAATTGAAGATTTCTTTCAGGCTGTCTTAAAATTAAATCTAGTACATTAAAAAACCATATTAAATTCTTAACTCAAGTATAAATATAAATCAAAATACATGAACTTAAAAGGTACGGGAGTCATGCATTTAATAATTTGTGTATCTATGTTATTGAAACTTTCAAAAGCCCATTTAGGACCTATAAAAAAAATACTTGAATTTGATTAAAAAAAAAAAAAAAATTAACCTCTCTGTTAAAATTCATTAAACCAATTGTTTGAATACATTAAAATGAACTATATTTATTATAACAGTTACAAATTAAATTCTGTTTGACTAATTTTAAAACTGAAAATTGAAACAAAGAACTAAATTTGTTGGTTATAATGAATTAAAAAAAATTTTAATTGCCTTAACTGGGCTTCCAAAAACTTTCCTTTTTAGTACTGAATAACATTAATAAGTCAATAATGCACACCTACGAAGTTAATATATGTCCTTTTAAAATCATATGTGTAAACCTTACTTTTACAGCCTATTGACTTTCTGGTTGTCTATTTCCTGTGATAAAAAGAAATCAAATGTACAAAAGTGATTGACAGATAATTGCAACTGAGATCGTGTGACATTCAATTTACATATCAATCAGTGCTAAATAAATACATCTGGAATCAAACAGAAAATGTGAAACACAATTTCAGTCAGTACATGCAGTCAGTGATAATGTAAACAACAATTTGTCCTCAGAATTGGTCCTAAAATCCCATATCTAACACAGATGTCAGCATTGGTCCTAAGACCCCATGTCTAACATAGCAGTCAGATTTGGTCCTAAGACCCCATGTCTAACACCGCTGTGTTTTCGTCCCCCGAATCATCGGAGTCATACCTCCCAGTGTCTGAGGGGTGGGTCTCTAACTGGGCCTTTGTCACCTGGGTCTTTGGTTTGCTTGGCTCCCCAGCAGCAGCAAACAGGGGAAGACCCTGTAAAATATGGACAGTCTTCAATTTCTAGATCATAGAGTACTCTCCCTTTTTACTGAGAAGTTTGACTGGGAGAATTAAATGATATCAACTCTTTAGGAATGATATTTAACAATTTATAGATTTAAAAAGTTAATTCCTAATTAAATCTACTCCAAAATGATTGAATAATTGACAATTACAGTTAGTCTTTCCTTATTTTGTGTAATTTTGTGAGATTTCCTAGAGGGGAAAATAAAGTTATTTAGGCCATGCAAAGTTAATTACTTGGTTCTCAGGCCTTTTTTCAAGAAATATGATGAGGGAGGGAGGCATAATTGCCCCCAAAACATGATGAGGCAGCTTTTTACATTGTACAAAACCTCAAAAATGATAGGTATGGTGTTTATATTTTATATTTAGCAATAAAAAGGGTCAATGAGGCACCCTTGGAAGAGATGAGGGAGGGCCTGAGAACCAAGAAATTAATTTTTTTTTGCCTTAAATATATTAAAATGATTTACAGTATTCATAATTCCACAAAATTTAAGCAACATTACAAATATTTATTGCTAAATATTTTAACTGAATGCATACCACTCCTTTTCTAATAATGATATTCAGTTCCTTGCTGCTTTTCAATGCCACAATTGCCTGAAAAGAAGATTTTAGGCATGATTTTCAAAAGAGTCTGAAATCCACGTACAATCTATTTTAAATTTCTAGTGATCTGGAGCATTCATCAGCTAATAACACCATAAATATTGTTCTGAAAATTTAATTCAAATCATAAATACCAAACACTTTAAAGTCTTCAAATAATGAAGCATTTAATGTAAATGATTTAAAGTAACTGCTTTAATAATAATTATAATCACATAAAGCCTTTATTTATCCGGGGTTGACATGTTCAACAAATATTCCTCTGTAGTTGGACGGTCCACTTACTATTCTGCAAAAACAGTAAGGAAAGTTTACTTTCTGTACCACAAAGTTTATGCAGCTTTAACTATTAAATGGGTTTAACTACTTTAGTAGACTACATGTAACGATCATTATCTTTACAATATTTGGATGATGCTCAATGTTTGCTTCATCTGACATGTAGATTGAAGCTAAGAAGTCAGTTTGACCATCAAATGTATATGTTCAGAGTTACGATTGGTGATTAGCTGTTACACGAGAATCTTTCAAAATATGACAGATGACACACAGTACCTGCAACCAAGGGAGGGGGACTGTCTGAGGTTAACAAACAGCTTCACTTCTTCTGCCTTCTCATCTGAGCCTCTCTTTAAGTTTTCCTTTTAAAACAAGCACTGCAAGGTTACGTTGTCTTTCATATCAGGCTTAAAATAACTCAAAATTCTGTAGACATAGTTATTTCCACGGGGTCATTATTCCGCGGAATCACAAGCTCAGTTTGATTAGCGGGTAAAAAATTACACGGATTCTTTGAATGCCAAAAGTATGTATTGTACCCTACACTGAATTTATGAGAAAAAATAGTTTTATTTCGCTAAAATTCGTCTGCCTTGTGAATATACAATTTCTTCAAAGAACAACATTCAAATGACTCGGAACAACATGCGGTACGTTTCCGCCAGCTCACAAAAATTAGGAATTATCATGAAATAATCTTTGAGGTTTACATATAACAACTTCAAATAAACTTTTTTAAAAAGGGGGAATTAAGTCCATAAACACATACCGTATACGTACATGATGTGATCTACAATTATAAACAACGAGGTTAGCTAGGTCATGTGAGGTGACTGATCGACGCACACCTGTCCATTCAAACAGAAGCTTGGGAAAATCGGTGAATTTTTCATGATTAAAAAAAAGCGAAGTAATTTTCTTTTTTATTTTTTACATGGCCTGAACTCGTGCTGTTTTTCAGAGGTTAAGTGTAAATGATTATGATGACCAGGTTCTTTGTAATATGTGTGCCATTTACACTTCAATTAATTATACCAGTTAAAACACAGAGATCTGAGAAAAACTGCAGTAAAAACAAGGGTCTTAGCGTTTATATAATTGGATGATTGACATATATCCTCTTGAGGACAATTCCGTGTGGCACGTGCTGTTAATCTCTAACTAGGGGAAGAAGATCAAGTTTGAGGCAAGGATATTTATGCGAGTAAAATTATTTTTCAAGGAATAAAATTATTATTTTGTGAATTTTTTAGACATTTTTGCATGATTTACGGTATGTACATATATCAAGAATAGATATGCATAGAAGATATATTAAACATGTAGGCCTATACCTACATATCTAATAAATGTAATACATTTATCATATCTGCATTCATTTAGTGTAATTTCATTTCTTAATACACTTTAAGTACGCTGTTATAAATTTCTGCGGAAAAATCAAGCTTAATAAAATAAGTCTACAGTAAAAGATTACCAGTAAACCTGAGAGGTACAATGGAAGTACCCATATTTCCATGAATTAATTTTCACTTAAAAGAAATTATAAGTAATTGATGATTATTATCTAAAATAATATGAAAATTAAAAGAAAATATTTTCTTACTGAAGTTCCCTTGCCACTTTTTAGAGTTTTGTCTACATAGGACCAGGTCAGGGGATCTGTTGCTCGTCTGTAAATAACAACAGTCTTGATAATTATGTACATACATGTTTACATACCTGTTTATCAACCTTATAGTTTACATTGCCAAAACACAAATCCAAGACCTACTTACTCTTTCACAGGCAACATTCCAATATCTGGAAAAAAATAAAAGATAATTTCTAATCAAGGAAAATTTTAAGACTTTAAAAAAAAATATTGAAGTTCAGATGGATTAAATACTGGTATATGCTTCTTTACCAAAATCAAATAAGTAAAGTGTAGAAATGCCCTTATGAAAATATCTATAACTGAATATTTTTTAAAGCTTCTCCTTCATTGGTGTTAGCATATACACAAACTGTACAAGTCCTTTGCAGCTATAATGAGCTGTTATCTAAATGAGTCTCACTTACTGGTGACCTTCAGTTCGATCTCATCTTGACCTTTGATCAGGTTTAGGACCTCCTCGTGGACAGCCTCTGCTATAGTGTAACCATTAACCCGCACTATTTCATCCCCCACCTGTCAACAGATTGTGTTTTGTTTATAAAGTATTTAGGTACATGTATTTCTTTAAAATACTTTTAAGAAGTAATTATTTTTCCTCACAAAAACAGATATATCTTCATAATATTCATACAGAAAATTATGTGAAAGTAAAGTGATATAGTTGTGTTGCTATTATATTTAAGAAATACAAACTCATGCCAGAGTTATCTCCATTGCTATATGAACAATGTATATCAATCAGCTCCATGTCCTTATCATAAACCTCTGTCATCAATACTATACAAATCAAGAATATTTCTAGGATTTCCATGTTCAAATGGTTAACATATATCATCCATAACACTGAGTAATAGTGTTAATGATTAGGGGTCACTGACACTAAATATTTGATGATAATGATGTCCATCATATTTATATGGAGCTCCTTTAATTAGCTAATACATGTAGCTGTACTCACACAAGTCCTTTTTTCTGCCTTTGACATACATTTGAGACACAATGTCACAGTGACATGTCTTGAAGCCCCTTATACTCACCCTAAGTCCCTTCTGTTCTGCCTGTGAGCCTGGATTTACATGATACACAATGTGACATGTTTTGGAGCCCCCCCCCCCAAACTTATACTCACCCTAAGTCCCTTCTGTTCTGCCTGTGAGCCTGGATTTATATGAGACACAAACACTCCCACTCCATGTTCAAAGCCTACACAGTGAAGAAGAGTATACATGCACACAAATATTGGTGTCACACACCATGTTCAAAGTTTAACAACATGTCAATGCAAAATACTGTAGAAATAGATTATAATTTAACAAAATGGTACATATTTAAATAAAGTTCACAATCAGGAAATACACATGTATCTGCCAAATTTTAATTGTTAACAGATTATTTTAGAACTTTTTCATCTGAAATTTGCTTAACAATAACTAGTGATGTCCCAAGCACCAAATCTAAAGGATCTGGATGATGTATTTATTATCCTGTTCAAGAAAACTGAGTGTTGCATGAATTTTTTAAGAATAAAACTGGAAATATAATTTACATGTAGAAGAATTTGACCTAATTGAAATAAATATGTCTACAGTAAACATTGTCACTAGTAATATCTTAATTAATGTGGTAAATGCAAAGTGATTTTACCAGTTTCTTTATATCAACCAAACCTATGTGCAACAATAAGAAACCCAAAATACTGTATGGTTAAATTTATGTGCGCCATGGTTAAACGATGCGAAATTTAACCGCCATGATTAAATTTTATTGCATTTCAGTACATACTTTTTAATGATTTGAGTAGTTAGTTGTGTTTATCACAATGCACCTCGCATGGAAATAAAACAAACATGTTAATCGGTGACCATGCTTTTAGAGAATCAGCTGATGTTCAGTATTTTGAGAGTTAATTATCCTGTACATAAAATTATGTAAATATGTTTGAGGACTTCAACAAGTTCACAACATGATTACATGATTAATAGATAACAGGTTTATAAAAGATCACAATTACGAGGACCAGGGACCTATATACTAGTATATAGGTACCTGCAAGTACAGTATACGAGCATGATATTCGTATGCATGCGATTCAAGTTTCTGTGCCAGAAAAAAATAATTTCAAAATTTCATATTCCTCTGTATTTAATCAATTTCCCATGATCTGTTTTCAAAGTTTTAACTATATTATCTTTCTGATAAAATGTACATAAGTGTCGATCGCCGTCTTAGTTTTAGAGTTACTTCCGGTTTTTATGAAATGTCGCGTGGCGCTATTTTTTGCACTAGGACACGTGGAGAAGTAAACAAAGGAATAAACGTGCTTAAAAATGCAATATCTAGAAAAATTGAACATTTAGAAAAGGGATACTGGTCCAAATGTTCGTTTGTGTGCAAACTTAAAATGAAATACTACCCATTCATGATTCATCAGATCTATATATATACATAAAACATTTCATACAACAGGCTACAACAATTCTTATAATTATTAGTTTCTGAATATATTTGCCATGGTAACTATATCAAAAGTTTTTTCTTTAAATTTCTTCAAAAGGTAACCAAAGTTTTGGGCAAATTTTGGTATATTTGTGAAGTAAGATAAATAATCATTTTTATTTCAATTTAATTTTAATTTTTTTTAGCCTTTAAAAGTGTTGTTATCTCAATGTTTGGGTGTTATATAAAAATTGTAAAATCAATCTTTGAGAATGAAGGGCAACTAACACACGGGCACATTTAGCCTTCGCACAGCTTCCTCCATAGTAAAATTTTCAAATGAGGAAAACCCTGCATATTTATCTATTTCTGAACTTGAGCACAATATCATGAACAACAACTTGAAGAAATACAGTACTTCTTTTGATGCAGTATATGTACCTCCTCTTACTGCGAATCCAAAGCTTTCATTTGCCCGTTTTCTCAGAGTAATGGCCCTTAGCTTTCTCCCAGGTGGTGCTGGTGCTAATTTGTCATAATCTGATTGGTGTTTGGGAGGTATTAGAGGCCTGTTTAAAGAAATAAAAAAAACTTTGATATACAACCAATTTTGTATATATGTATTAATTAATTAAAGTACTACATGTACTATACTAGAATATGAACTTAGCCGAACTGAAATTTAAACCAAAGGTTAAATTAAAACCTTTATGAAAAAAATTTCTATAACTTATCAGAACATTCAGAAAACATTTTGCTTTGTTCTTCTGTCCCCATAATTGGAGATTCAAGGGCACAGAGGCCTGGTCTGTCAGTCCATCTGTCTGTTTAAGATCATGAAACATAAACTGTCAAGATCGAACATATGCATTTTGCTTCATTTCAATCTGTAACAGTCTGGTGAACAGTTCAAATTAAAAATGCTGAAATTCTACCAAAAATCACTGAAGTGGAACAAAATGTAACTCATCAAGGTAGACTCAGCAAATTTCAGCTCAATATCTGCAAGCAAGAAGAAAAGTGCAAAAAAAACCCAACAAGATGTGTTTGTGAAACACTATGCACCCGGCAACAAAGTTCAAAAAGCTATTTTTAGCATATAGGTCAAAGTGAAGGTCACAAGGTCATCTGAACTTGGTGTCATTTGAAAGAGCTTTGTTAATGGAGTATGCATACCAAATATTAAGTCTCTTTATTTCATGGTTCAAAAGTTATGGCAAAGGGTAAAGTTGACAACAGACAGACAAACAGACAGAACAAAAACAATATACGCCCCGGGATCTATCGATCAAGGGCCATAAAAATTAAAAAGTTTGTACATGCAATTCCAACTTGATCTGCAACTCATAAAGGTACATTCAGGTATCAAAAACCAGCTTATATCAGAAAGCAT